TCAGTGGATGCAAAGTCTGTAGTTGAGGGTAAATTAGTTGAAAATGAATGTGTGTTTAGCAGTGACATGTCTCCGTCAGGCTTTTTTATTTACAAAAAAACAAGCTAATTGCCTGCACAAAATAGGATAGCAGTGTATAATTATGATATAATATGTAACGATAAAGTTTCCAGTGGCTTCATGAATAGATTAAAAACATAAAGAAAAAAAAACACACCTGATGAGCATTTTTGTTCATTTTCTTGAAATAGAGTAAAAAAAACCTTGCTGTATTTTTTTTGTAGTTAATTAAGAGAAGGTACATCACCATCTTGCTCCAACCCAAGTGACTTGAACGCACCTGATGTTGTAATTACGATTTCCCAACTTGTAAATACGAGCTTTCCAGGCGCACTTGAACGCACAGTAATGCTGCCTTCATGTGGTATCGGGAATTATCATAAATACGAATTTCCCACTAGGAAGTTGCACATGAATGATCCCTCAAGTCATAATTATGACTGCAAAACTCTGAGATAATTTTGATACCCGAGTTTCCAAGGGAGGAGTCCTAAACTTTCACCATGGTGGAAGAGAGTACAGTTTCTACACTGAATGACAGGTTTTGTTCTTTTGCTTGCAGTTTTGGTCATATTCATTTATGTATATCAGCAACCATTCTGTGCATGTTGTACATTTTTGTACACCATGAAAATAGCTTGTATTTGACCAAAATTCCATTATCATCAGCAAGCTAGCTATCTGAGTAATGTGTGTTATGGTGTCAGAATAAAAGAAAAAAGAAATATATATGAATGAACCTGGTGTCATCCATGTTTCATGTTTTTTTTTTTTTGATAACAAAGCATGTGAACATGACATACTTGTAATTACCTTTCAGAAGTGGGAAGTAGGAGAATTCCGATAGCATGTATAGGGAGCGTTATGCTGCATTTGAGGCGCAGATGTAAATTGTAATTCCTCACCTACAGCCAGTAAAAACCACAGAAAACGCCCCTCGACTTGAAATTTCAACTCATCAACTTGGCCTTGACAACTACCAGATAAATCTTTAACAGTGGCCATACTAAACATTGTTTTGAGAAGGTAATCATCAAGGTTAGAGTTCTCACCCATGTAACTAATGTTAGCTGGTTGGTTTGTTGCTGTTCTGTGCTGTTGCTGCGGTGCTGCAAGTTTCAGTTTAAAATGTTGCATGAGTGATTGTTAGTCATTACAGTAGAACAGAACCAGAAGCCACTCAGGCCTGTAACTGTAAAAGTGCGGTGAAAGTAGCTGTTTATGAGCTTTACATGCTCTGAGACACTTTCTTTTTTTTTTTTTTTTAACCCACTTTGCACATCACATGTGCTGAGGTGGGAAATGACATCATTACAACTTGCAAGTTACCACTTACAAAGCACCACGGATGCAGCAGTATTACTGCATTCATGACCAGATGTAAACTGGGAAGTTTCGGAATTCCCAGTAGGAAAGATCTGTTTGAACGCATCTCCAGTTCGTAATTCCTACTCGGAAATTTTTTTTCGAGAGCTCTGACTTCTCCGAGTTGCGGGTCTGTGATGTCACTTCAAGATGGCGGCATTCGTAGTGAAAAAATAAAACAAGAAATAACAGCGTGATTTAAGGTTTTTAAGCAGTCGTTTGACTTTCTGTTTGTATTTGAAATCACTAAATACTGGGTGATACTTTGGTAATTGAAATGTTAATTTGCTTTCTGCAAGATTTTATTTTATTTTTTATCAAATTGCTCTATCATGTATTTTTTAGTGCTTTTACCAATGAATCATCACACCGGCTTTAAAACTAAATTAAGCACTAACCTAACAACTCTTTAATTCCTGTTTAACTGCAGCTTACTGTGAGTATTCAGTTTATTTTCGTCTTCAGACGTCTGAGTTCGCGTGAACACTCCAAAGTGGGAAATAGGAGGTACCAAGTCAGAAAATTCCGAGTTCCCAGTTGTCATGAATGCAGCATATAGTGAGGACAATATACGAACTTATGCATAAGGAATAATGACCAGGTTGCTCTGTTGGCTCCTAAAAACAAAAAGAGAGCAAGAGATTCTTTTTCTCAGTCACCACTCAATGTCATATTAATGAGGAATCCAACACAGAAGTCATGCAGACTGCGAACGCTGAACTCTAAGTTCCAGAATGCAGTGCAGCTCTACGACGCGGTTGTGCTGATTTACGGCAAAAACTCAGCTCGGCTAGTTGGCAATTTACCTGATGCTAAGTGCTGATGCCACTATTAGCACTGACGTTGATGCTTTGGTACCTTGTGTATTTGAATAGAATATAATTCCAGATGAATTGTATACCCACGGCATTGTGGGTAATGTGGGAACCCGTTAACGAGAGTGAAAATAGACCAATGTGTCGATGAAATAAGTTTAAACCAAAAGGTCAACTCAGAATGATTCCATTACAGAATGCTCACATGCCAATTATAGAGATTAATATTCGTGTCGTTCAGGGTGTTTTTTATATTTCTTGATACAAAAATGTCTAGATTATACATGAGGTTATGAGTTATGAATTAAGGCTGATGAAGTTTAGTCATGAGCCAAATGTGTGCACATTGTTTTGGCCTGGTTGGTCGGATCTGTTCTCCACTGTGGAGAGGTAAATCATGCGCGCACACACACACACACACACACACACACACACACACACACACACACACACGAGTCGTGACCAGATGCCCAACAGAGGACTAGAACGGCTTTGCAGGAACTTATAATAGCAGCCTAATTATTTGCAGCATTCATATATGATGTATTACAAACAAGTGTTGTATTTGAATCAGTGACCTATAACCACTCATCAGTACAGTTGCAGTGCACAGAAAGACTCATCTGCACATTGTATCACTTCTGCAGAGGCCAGTATGTAAATAACAGATAACAAACGGTGAATTGTGTAGCGCTGCTGTAGTGGTAATGGTGTACTGAGCTGGAACAGAGCTCTGCTTTTAGTCGCGGTGATGTCATGGCTGGACAGTGGATAAAGCTAGCTGTACGGAACAAGTTGTCAGTATGGAGGCCCGAGCCAGTCGGGAGGATGGGGTTAGGAAAAAGTAGTGTCAGGGCTGCTCAGTTTGTGGCTTTTATGAGCCACAAAGCAGATTTCATTTGTGCAAAGGCCATGTGTGGTCTAGTCATAGGCTTGTTTATTGCAAGTTGCGGTATGGAGAGATGGAGCAGCGTGCACGTCCTGGATGTGAGCAGGCTGACGCTGGCGTCCCAGAGGAGTGTCGCTGCTGCAGCTGGTGTCAGCTATAGGATGTGTTTCCAAAAAAAGGTTCATTATATACACTCTGCTATAAGAGAGCAGCACTCCATAAGTCAAGTTGAAACTTTCTGAAGGTTTTGTGAGTAGTGTAAGAGTGATCTGTCCCTTTAGTGGTGTGTGTGTGTGTGTGTGTGTGTGTGTGTGTGTGTGTGTGTGTGAGAGAGAGAGAGAGAGAGAGAGAGAGAGAGAGACGTTCTCTCAGCTCTGCTCTGGACAGAATCAGTATCACATCCTGTCATACAGTTTTCTCCTTATTCTGGACTCACACACACACACACACACACACACACACACACACACACACGGACAGACAGACACTGTACTGTCTCTTACAGAGAGAGTTCACATCCCAGGAGTCCTCCTAATAACACATAAACACAACTTATGTCCACCAGCACACACTCACGATGTTCTTGCCTACTGTAAAAGCTTCTTCGGGAGACACTTAAGTTCACTCCACTAACCAATGTGTTCAGATGGATAACTAATGACAGCGGAGCGGAACTGTCATCAGCCATGTTTGTGTGAATCTAAAGTCAAATATTTGGGGTCATTGCTTGGGTTCGTGAGCATAAGCGGTGTTTTATCCTGGGAAAATCTCATAGTATGGAGGTTTGATGACTAAAATATCATCCAGGACCAAAAAAAACCCTGAAATCTGTCATTATGTCTGGAGTCGAAGAGTTTCAGTGTTGGTTAGGATTGTGTAAATTTTATAGTGTGGCTCAAGCTTTAAAACAGGAACAGCAGTAAACAATCGCAATCACGTAAATGATTTCTGTTTTGATGAAATGAATTGCTGCTTACTAAAACAGTGTTTTGATTCTTGTACCAAATTGGTGCTATTTTGCTAAATAATTGTAATCATGCCTTAGGAAGGAATAAAACACAACAGGGCGGTGTGTTGCATCCCATTGTAAAGCGGAGGTACCAGATACCATTACCACCCTGAAGTCGCTTATTGTTTATTATGCAACAGTTAGTGCCGGTCCGCTAATTTAATTGGTCAAGCAGTGTTCCCAAGAGTGCTTATATTTAGTGTAACAGCACTGAGACGTTTCACTGTGTGTATCACTCCGCTCATCTGTGTAAAATTCCCCTTGCTAGCTGGAAACAGTTGCTACAGTAGTGTTAGCGACGTCCTCAGTAGACATCGCAAATGCTACTTTTTACTGTAATTTTTGACTTTTTAAATATGAAAGCTCATCAGATGAAGATGAAAAGGCAGAAAGGAAGAGTATTTGACCACACTGAAAACCCTAATGTTGTTCTTTACATAAACAGTCAAGTAATCATGACTAAACATTACTTAAAATGTTGCATTTTGTGCCCATAAATCAAAAATCTAAGTGTGTTAAACTTATTTACCTACAAAATACACAAAAATAAGATTTCAAGTGTAATGAACTCAAAATCATGATTCATTAAAATGGCTCACTCTGGTCTTCCTGTGATGTGATTGGCTGTGCAAGGAGTTCCGCCTGGCAACAAGAGAACTAATGCTCTGATTGGTAGATAATTGCAGAAGGCGGTCTTCTTCAGCTCGTTGAGTCCATGTGTTTTTACAAAGAAATGGCAATTGTGTAGAGGATGTTTTGTAAATAAAGTTACATTTTGCTAAAAAGTGTTAATTTCCCCTATTTCTGGAGACTTTTGTGACCTCCTTTATTGAAGTACACTTGAAATGAGCATGACCCTGGTTTCCTGTTAGACTAGCGGCTAGTATGCGGCGCTCTGACCGCCACGGCCCGGGTTCGAGTCACGCTCAGATAAATGATAAAATACACTATATGAACACCAAGTTTAGTACACTTCATTATTTACGTACACTATATGAACACCAAGTTCAGTACACTTCATTATTTACGTACACTATATGAACACCAAGTTCAGTACACTTCATTATTTACGTACACTATATGAACACCAAGTTCAGTACACTTCATTATTTACGTACACTATATGAACACCAAGTTCAGTACACTTCATTATTTAAGTACACTATATGAACACCAAGTTCAGTACA